AAGTCAATCGCTCGTAGTATGTGCTAGAATGAGATGAGATCCAGCTCAAAGGTGAAGACCTCATTCTTTGAACCCTCCCGGGCAGTTCCTGTTCTAGCTTCTCTATCTCTAGCAAGTGATACGAACAACACAACATCTTCTCCGGTCGTAGGTCGGTAGGGCTTGCCCTGGCTAAGAAATGGAATAAAAAATTCCCGGTTTCTTGACTATTTCTGAGATTATTTACCTTTATTTACATGAAGATGCACGGTCTCTTACACTTTTCCTAGCTTAAGTTGGCGGATTGGTAAACAAACGGCTCTGCAGCTCCGTTCGCTTCGGCACCACTCCCTTGCTTCTTATCGAGGTCGGTGCCAACAAACAAGTCCCATTCGAGCAATGGAATCTACATAAGAATGTAATCACTGTTAAGTATTCCACTCACTGATGCCCAGGAAAATGGGCCTCTGAAGAAAGCAAAGACAATATCTGTTGAGGGCGAGCCCCGCTCCCGAAGATACCTGATGATAAGTATGTTATCGAAGCGTTAAAGCGAGAATTCACATCTGTAAAAGATTCCCACATTCCGTGAGATTCGTTGCCTACCAAAGAAAGGTGCAAATAAGCCATTTTATTAGATTTTGCCTCTGCTGATCCTGCTCATGCTTTTTTTTCTCAATTGGTAAAGTCTCTCAACCTTGCAAAGTGGAAAAAGAGATGGGCGTCGGATCCATGTTTCGCTAATCCCGAGCTTGAAGAGAAGTGAATGCCCGTGGGGAAACGAAGAAGGCCTAGGGTTATCTATTGAAAACCATGCATGCCCAGATCTATTACGAAAGTTGGAAAAACACAATGGCCAAATGCACTTATTTTCGAAGAAGAATGAGGCAATCGATCATCCGGACGAAAGGGATATGGAAAGTGGGCTTGTTCTTCACTCTATAAGTAAATATAACAGGCATCCATGGTTAACAAGTAGAGACTTCGCCTTTCTCTAAAGAGCCCAGAGGTCCTGCTAAATAAGATGTATTGTGAGCACAAGATGGACCTGAGCTCCTCTCTTAAACCAAGGCATACTCTACTGGCTTTCCCGTGGAAGTTTTAGAAGGCGGTTAGGTTAAAGATAAAGTGGTTGAGCAGTGAGAAGTGCACCGGAAGTGTACTTCGAGCGATGGGAAGCTAGCGTGAAAGGTGCTCCAGCTTGCTTGCTTGGTCAAAACAGGCTTTAAAGACAGCTTTCTCTTTCGCTATCTTACTTGGATAGTTTAGGCTTTCTTTTCCTTCCTCATTCACCAATCTATCATGACCGTCTTCTTTTCCTCCCTGAACTTATTTGAGTTGGTTTCGGTTGGTGAAGTCACCGGTATGGTATGATGGTTTAGTACCGTGCTCCTATAGTCCCATTGCCATCTCTTGGCTTAGAATTTGACACTTGATCATCGGTCTTCTAGGTCAAATGGGTGTCATCCCTTCTCAGCTTCTCACTTGAAGAACTATGAGATCTCTTGGTTCCAAACGTTAGTTATCCTGTTCTCGAACTTTTTTTTGCCTGCTTTGTCTCAACGAAAGCTTTTAGCCCATCCAGCTCGAATGAAGCTAGCTCTTCCCCTATAATATGCTTTCCTTCAGGGCAAGTTCTTTAAAAAGAAAAGAAGAAAACGTGAGACCGGTTGACTTCTCCGTCCTTAGCTTGTTGAATTGCATGGTGGAGTTAGGGCTCCCATATAAAACGTATAGTCAGTGGGTTGAGTGCTATCAACCAGATAAGATGCTGATAGTCTCGCAGAAGTACTTAACCTTGAAGATCAAATAGGATTTACCATTTCTAGATCAGACCCGGGGTCAGTTCGAAATACGACTCCCGTAAATAGATCTGGTCGAGGAAAGCATGTTGAATATCCGGTTTCATAAAAATAACTACATTCTCACATTTCTCGATCAGAAAACTAATAAGATAAAAAACGCCATCATTCTTATTTTAGAGAGGTGTCCCCAGAAGAAGATTTCTTCAGTATTAGCTGAATGTCTGACTTATGGTAGGAAGCTGTAGTTAGGGACGCCCCTACTTTATTTACAAGATGAAAGAGATCCGTATCAAGAGCTTATTCTTTTGGCTTTAAGCATGGCGTTTTCATTCATTTGTAACTATATAGATATATAGCCCTTGCAACCATGTCCCGGTCTACCCTTTTCCCTGATCTTTGGACCCGTCCACTTAACTTGAGCTTACATCTTGACCCTTGTATGTAGATTTCTGATTTCCTTCGCAATGAACAATCTATTCTCCACTTTTGAATAAAAACACCAACCACAACCGACCCAATAGTAGGAGTAGGCGGCAGTGAAAGTGCCACAGCCAGGGGAAGTGCCAGAGTCTAGAACCGAAGGTGGTTGCCACCTGATAAGATCCAAAGCGCAGCAAAGCCCCACGAAAGCAAACAGTACGGGTGGAGGAGTTACCGTGGGCACCGTGTTGGTTCAATCTCTCTATAGGTAGTGTGAAAAACCCTCAATTCAAGAGTTCCTGTTGACGGTCCCATTCCTTACTCTCTTTTTCAACTAACTTAATTGTAGTCCGCATTTCATTCTGCTGAGGATTTTGCGTATCACAGCTTTCGATCGACCAATACCCAATCCGCTATTAACAAGCAGTTGGATAGAGCTTCACCAGAGGGATTTGGTGTAACAACCCCCTTTACTGCACACTCAATTATAAGGAGATTCTTTCGGGTTAATGCAAAACGAAGTTCTTTTCTCATAAATCAGGTCAAAATCTTGAAATCATGCCAAAAAAACGGGGGGGGGGGGGTTACGCAACTTTTTCCAGTGAGATCATCTATTCCCTTCTCTTTGGCGGATTCAATCATGCCTTGGTAATTGTGGCTTGGCCTAAGCGCTCACCTGAGAGTCCAAGAAAGAAGGCAAAACAGCTATATAGAGCCCCTCCCTCGAGTCGAGCAATGAACAAGTAAGTTAAGTAGAGACAAGGAAGAGGGGAAATGCAGTATCGTTATGTTATAGCAAGATCATCAGATCATGGGTGAAGCAATCGATCATCAAAAAGTTCTTTATCAGCCGGCGGAAAGCGTGGTAATTCATTCATTTCATCGGAAAAGGATCGAACTGGAGTCATCGCATCGTTTCTAGATCTTCGATACCTCTATATTCTGAAGAATAGGTCCTAAAATGGTCAATCGATTGTTTTCTCAACGGGAATCGAGGAAATGGCAAGGGTTTGAGTATAGCGAGCAGAGGAATAGTTTCCTTTATCAAAAGAAGCCTATCGACTTGGAAACAGAAGATGTTGTAACTTAACTGCACCCTTCCTCTTCTGCCGATCTTTACAACGCTATGCACATCTCCTTCTTAGTTTTGAAAAAGAAAAGGGCCTCTTTCCTTTTCCCAATACTTGACCAAGATTTCTTTTTAGTTCAGTTCCAGATTAGGAAGCAATAGATGTTCCATTGGCCGAGAAGGAAACCAGTAAGCAGATTGAAGAGATAGATTGAATAACAGGCAGATTCCCCTCGTAACAGGCATATAAATAAGTCCCATTAAATTGATTGATAGACTACGCATCGATGGTGTCGAGTCAATCCTTGTAAGCTAAATACTACACAACCCTCCTTAGAGGGGGAACCTTAGAGGAAGAATACATATTACTTAGAGGACGAATGATGGTACATAGGCAAATCCTCAATCTATAGATGCTTTAGTGCCAGGCAGGCAGAGCCAGAGCCGCGTCGGGCAACGAACAACTCGTTTTTCGGAAGATAGTTGCGTTGCAGGTAAAGCTAGCAGTAGTTGGAGCTAAAGCAAGCTAGCTATAGGTGTTCGGATAGTTGTGTTGATAGAGGGTTTTCTCCCGGGAGACATATCGATTACACACAAGAACCTAACTCTACTTCTTTTATCCTCCTTACTGCTCCTTATCTCATTTCTCCTTTTATTAGCACAGCACCTTGTACTCCTTTACAGAAGCTGTATCGCTCAGAGCACAAATCGTTGTGCTCCTCACTGTTCAAGAGAGTTCTTGCCCTTCTCTGATCGGGGAAGGTCATTTAAAAACACTAGATCAGCCCATTTCAGTTGAAGAAAAAAAGTGATCCACCTAGAATATATGATCGATACCAAAAGATTGGATGTCATTTCTCAACACCAGCTTCTCACCTGGAGGAGGGAAGGGAGATATGAGCATAGCGATAGCGGTATCTTTTCCTCTTTTGATAGAAGCCCACATGCCCACTCTTCTACCCCCCCGTACCACAGGGTATCAGGGGCCTCATGATCTCCACGAACAGAGATCACTACACAGGAAACAGCTATATGAAAAACTTGCTTGCTTCTTCGAATCTCGAAATAACAGAACATATAGAAAGTGTTTTTGTGATTTTTCCATTCTCTTCGGGGAACCTATAGAAAGATTATCAGACGGCTTTCATGATATTATGCTTCCTTGCCCGTGTGGAACATGTGTGAGCATTATGTTTTTCCAACAAGTGATCCGACTGGAAGAAGTGTTATATGAGGACTTCGAGATCAAATAGAGAATCTGTCTCTCCATTCCTCGTGAGCCACTTATTTCTCCGAAATCAGAGATCAGAGTGATTTTCCTCCTTTTTCCCAAATAGTCGACGGTCTTACACCATTGGGATACTTCGGATAAACTGGAGTACATATATGAGAGACCGATGCTAAAACCTTTTCTCGAGATATCTTCCAGATTCTTAGGGTCCTTGCTCCGGATCTCGCCCCCCCGGTGCGAAAGCAGTTGGTTCCGTAGTTTGAGAATTCTACTAATTCCAAGTATTCCATTATTATTATTAAATAAGAGAATATAAAAAGTAAAGAGGAGAAGACATAACCAGAAGAATTGTGAGAAATAAGTTAATTTATCAAGTTGAGGCATTTCGATTTGGATTTCAAATAAGAAAAAAAGGATTTTGTGAAATTTAGGAGTCGTTCGAAAGCATCAAGAGGGAAGAACTCAGATAGAAAGGCAGGCGAAGTTGGCGGCCAACCTAATTCCCCTCCCAGTTGTACCCTTGTGCATCCCCTTCGTAAACGATTTCCACTGGATCTGGAGATTCCCCGGGGCCCCCCGAATCATCATCTTCGGACCCCGAATCATCATCCCACCTTTTACGCTTCCGCGAAGAAGACGGGCCTGCCTCGTTCGCCCCATCATTTGCTTTTGTGCTTTCAGGGGATCCCGTGGAATGAGCCTCCTGCTCTTCCAAAGGCGCATCAGGGTCGGGAGAATCCGGTTCACCGAGCTCGGCGCGGCGAAACCGCTTCGCCAGATTGGTGGCTATTGCGACGAATTCGCTTGCGTCCCCGGCTTCCGTATAATCGGAGAAGATTTGTTGAAGAGTATCTCCTCCCTCACTATTCCACAATACATGATTTTCAGTGAACGATCGCGCAGATTCACCTTCCTCTAAAGGAAGAGGAGTGCCTACTTCGTGAAATATTCTTTCAACCTTGGAAGTCAACTCCGCAATTATGTCTTCGGGATGGGCGGCGTGCGCCATTTCCTGCTGGAGGTCTGGTAGTCCGCCAACGGGAGGTTGGTCTATGGGAAAGTCACCCCCGTTAGGAGCATTGGTCAAGCTCAAGGCTATGAATCAATGCCAAAGCTGTCGTGCCGGTCAGGCTCCTCCATTGATGCCTCACGGGCGGCGCAGTGAAGACCGGGCGACGCGCGTCCCTCGCCCGCCACGCGTACGCACGGCGGCCACACGTACGCGCGGCGCCTCCGCCTATATAAGACACCCCCAGCGCGCCGGTGAGCGCACAGACAGTGCATCGCCGCTCCTCCTCCGTTCCTCCCTCTCCCCTCGCCGTCTCCATAGCCATGGTTGAGCGTTTCCCAGGCGATGGCGCGGCCGCGAACGGCTTCGGCCGCCGCCACCTTCACGAGGATGAAGCTCGACTCCTCTTTGAGGCCGAGTACCCGGTCCCGCCGGACATGCGGGTGCCCGGGGCGTGGAGGATCAGCGTCGGCGGGGTTCCGGTGCCACCACCGCCCACCGGGGCGGCGCGGCGCGCGGAGATCGCGCGCATCCGCGCCTCTCTGCCGCAGGCGGCGAGGGAAGGGCCAAGGTACGTCCCAGACAGCCCGCTGTAGGAGCTGTACTTCCGTCGCCGCCACGCCGAGCAGCTCGAGGCCACCAACGGTGTCGTGCCCTCCGGGAGGCTCAACTCCGAAGGCCGCCGCCGATGGTGGGGCGTGCCCGGCCGCACGCTAGAGGCCGTCCTCGAGTACATCGAGGGCGGAAACACGCCCAGGCTGGAGTACCCCGCTCCACTGTCCTTCTCTCGCCGGCGTGGAAGCTCCTGGACGCCGAGGCAGGGGGCGTCCTCCTCCTCGTCCGACTACTCGATCGGCTCCCCCTGTCTCCCCCCGTCAAGCCGGAGCCCCAGGACACGCCGGTCAGCCAGCGCACCCGCAGCTCTGGCGTCCGCATCGCCGACCCCTCACCCGCCTCTGGACGCCTCGTCCTCGTCAGGCCGCAGCCGGAGCCCGACCTCCCCGCGGAGTACGAGGCTATAGCTCGGCGCGGCTTCTCCGACGAGGAGGCCCTAAAGTGGGCGCAGGACGACTACCTCCATGCCGAGATGGTCCGGCGGACCCAGGCCGAACCCGGCGCGCTGGGGGCGCTTGGGAGCGCCGGCCGAAACGTTTTTGGCGCGAAAACCGGCGGGCCCTCGTTGGCAGCGACTCGGCTCTTCTCGCCGCTCCATCATCCTCATCGCCCCGGTTCCCGCGGCGAATCAATGCCAAAGCTGTCGCGCCGGTCAGGCTCCTCCATTGATGCCTCACGGGCGGCGCAGTGAAGACCGGGCGACGCGCGTCCCTCGCCCGCCACACGTACGCGCGGTGCCTCCGCCTATATAAGACACCCCCAGCGCGCCGGTGAGCGCACAGACAGTGCATCACCGCTCCTCCTCCGTTCCTCCCTCTCCCCTAGCCGTCTCCATAGCCATGGTTGAGCGTTTCCCAGGCGACGGCGCGGCCGCGAACTGCTTCGGCCGCCGCCACCTTCACGAGGATGAAGCTCGACTCCTCTTTGAGGCCGAGTACCCGGTCCCGCCGGACATGCGGGTGCCCGGGGCATGGAGGATCAGCGTCGGCGGGGTTCCGGTGCCACCACCGCCCACTGGGGCGGCGCGGCGCGCGGAGATCGCCCGCATCCGCGCCTCTCTGCCGCAGGCGGCGAGGGAAGGGCCAAGGTACGTCCCAGACAGCCCGCTGTAGGAGCTGTACTTCCGTCGCCGCCACGCCGAGCAGCTCGAGGCCACCAACGGTGTCGTGCCCTCCGGGAGGCTCAACTCCAAAGGCCGCCGCCGATGGTGGGGCGTGCCCGGCCGCACGCTGGAGGCCGTCCTCGAGTACATCGAGGGCGGAAACAAGCCCAGGCTGGAGTACCCCGCTCCACTGTCCTTCTCTCGCCGGCGTGGAAGCTCCTGGACGCCGAGGCAGGGGGCGTCCTCCTCCTCGTCCGACCACTCGATCGGCTCCCCCTGTCTCCCCCCGTCAAGCTGGAGCCCCAGGACACGCCGGTCAGCCAGCGCACCCGCAGCTCTGGCGTCCGCATCGCCGACCCCTCACCCGCCTCTGGACGCCTCGTCCTCGTCAGGCCGCAGCCGGAGCCCGACCTCCCCGCGGAGTACGAGGCTATAGCTCAGCGCGGCTTCTCCGACGAGGAGGCCCTAAAGTGGGCGCAGGACGACTACCTCCATGCCGAGATGGTCCGGCAGCGCCGAGCCCTAGAGGAGATAGCCTCCCTTCCCTCTCCCTCGTGACTCTCCCTTCCCCGAAACCCTCGTCGCCGCCGCCTCCCCCGCGCGTTTCTGGCTGGATCCGGCGGCAAGTCCGGGCTCCCCTCCCCCGCTCTCCCTTTCCCTCCCCTAATCCACCCTTGCGCCGCCTCCCCGGGAGGCGGCTGGGGCGGCGCGCGCGCCTCCGCCTTCGGCCTCCCTTCTCTCCTCCTCCCCCCGTCGCCACCGGTGGGCGCCCCCGGCTCTGGACCAGGTGGTGTCGGTGGACTCTCCCCTGCCCGCGCGTGCATCCTCCCTTCCCGGGCGGGGGGCGACGGCGATGTCGCTCGGATAGGCGGCGGTCCGCCGACCCGGCGGCGGACGTTATGGCGGCGGGGCGGCTTGGTGGCGCGGGGTGGCCAGCGACGCACCCCCAGCTCGGATCTGGGCCCTGCGAGCCCCATCTGGGTCTTAGCGGGTCGGTCCCCGGTGTGGCTCCGTTGTCGTACGCGTGGTGAGGAGGAGGAGCAGCTCAGACCGGGAGCGGCGACGCTGACGGTGTGCCTGCTGCAGCGCGAAAGTGGGAGCTTTACGGGCCTACGAGGGCCTGGGCGGGCCTGGTATGCTCCTGCTACAGCATCCGGTCGGCTACCGTTGTTGACGGTGGAGGTTGAGCTGCCCCGCGTGCCGACGGTGCTGCTGCCTCTAGTCCTGGCTCCTCTTCTTCACTGTGCAGACCTCACTTCGTAGTGTCGTGGTGAGACGGCGTGAGAAGCTTCAAGCCTGTGTTGACGCAGGGTGGTGGTCGGTTTGGTGGCGGGCTCCGGAGTGTCCGAGGTGAAGGTTGGGATTGGGAGAAATCCCTGTCGACCTGGCCGACACCGACGCGGTCGTGCCTGTGGGTGCCACCGGACCTTCTTGGAGGGCGTCGGGGGCTACCCTTCTCCTCTCCTCGTCGTGTACCCGGGGAAACCATTGGCAACAGCGTCGTCATCGTCACGTCCCTTCTTGAAGGTGTTGATTGGTACCGGCGCTTCGGAGTCTAGGAGCTTGGTGCAAAATCTAGGTGGGCGCAGTGGTTGCGAGGCTTCTTCGTTTTTTGTCGATCCGTCGTTGTCGGCATTTCTTCCTTTTGTATTTTCTCTTTCATTTCTTTTGGGCGTGTCTGTGTTGTTTTCGCCCCAGCACCTAACGTTGGTTGCTTTGTAATACAAAGCGGGGAACCCCTTTTTCGGAAATCAAAGACAAGTAATTCAGACTGGATGTATTTGCGTATACTCTCTCCCATTTTAAATATAAGTCTTTTTAGAGATTCGAATGCGGACTAGTGAACCTACACTTTAAAATATGTCTATATACACCCGCATGTAATCCGTTTTGCAATCTCTCGAAGGGCTTATAAGAAACGGAGGGAGTAGAATTTATAGAACTTGATCGGTATCCATGGTTAAATTGAACTTTGACTCCAATAAGAACAAGTCTCTCGAATTCACCATGGACGCCCTAACATAATTGGAGAAATACGCATCTTGCTTTTCAAGTGCATGATCGGAAGGAGTGTTCAGCTGATGTAGCTCCTGGCCTTGGAAGTGAGGTATCTTAGGATAAATATAATGAGGAAACAAGAGCCATAAGGAAATAAATCATCCATGATTTGTATTTGTGTCAATATAAAAATCAAGAAACAAGAGCAAATCCATGATTTGCATGGTGCTGCAGCCTACAGGAATGTCAATTCCACATAGAACACAACAGAGTGGTGGTGGGCTGCTGGAGCAGTTCGGTAGCATGGCTAAAGTAAATGCGATAGGTCGAGAGTTCGAGCCTCACGTCACCCGAAGACCAGCGTTGTGATGAAACGCTCGGTGGCAACTTGGGTCGCCACATATACACCTGAATCGAATCATCAGGTGAAAACGAGCAAGTCTGAACCTGGTCTCTTTCTTTTTTGTTTTTGTTTTTGTTTTGAAGGTGGTTGGTAGCTTCACTCTGAATGGGGGATGTCTGAATTATCAGAACTACACTATACTTAGGCTCTATGATGTTTCAGTTGCCCATGCTCGTTCATGGCTCTTTTTGTAAGGACATTCCCTTTGGGGTTTCCCCGGTGAGCAGTACTGCACTGCCTCACTATCCGTTATGCAATCCTACAAAAGTGCAGAATTATGCTCCGATTTACATCTTCTCTGACGGGTTGGCAACTGACGGTGAAGGATTCTCACACTTGTATGTACTCCTACAGGCCGGCAGTTGTAGAATGGGTCTGTGTGGTCTGACAACAGACCAGTTCTATCCTGCTAATAAGGAACTACTCAGGGCTAGAAGGATCATATTGGCAGAATGTCAGTATGTCACTGCTCTCGGGCTCTTCTTCTTGTATCTACCCATTGAAGCATTGGTCTGTCTGTTAATACTGTACCTTAGGTTCCAACAAATCCAGGCCCGAGAGCCTGATACACTTTTCAGTTACAGCGTCCATTTTGCTCCTAACTAATCCTGTGTCTCCTACTTGTCGAGATATTTTTTCCAATAAAACATGAGCCATCCATGATTTGCATGGTCCAGTTTCTTAATTAGGACGTTTGTTTCGCTGCTAATCCAACAGTGGGGTGGTGGCGCAGTTGGCTAGCGCGTAGGTCTCATAGCTAAGAGTGATCCTGAGGTCGAGAGTTCGAGCCTCTCTCACCCCACCATAAAACGGCCATCGTATTGATGAAAAGCTCTGTGGCAACTTGGGTCGTCACATGATCATCTGATTCATCAGATTGAT